GAAGTTGATTGAAGTGGTTGGTTAAAGGTTATTTTTAAAAAAAAGTTTTAGTAAGAGTTTTACTACACTTGGAACACAAATAGGTCATATAGGTGCTTACGATTAGAGTTGTTACGACCACAGAGTACCTTACAAATCAAATAAGGGGGAGAGATAAGGACGACAGATGTTTGATTGGAAAGAAGGTACAAACCACACCAGAACAACTGCCAACTACCCATTTCGATTTGAGTAATGAGAGACATGATGATTAATCCAATAGCGGTCTTTTGGACCTGGAAAAGAGCGCGGCAGATAGACAAACAGAAACAAAAGAGGGGGAAAAGAAGAAAGATCTACCAGTTGCGCCCTCCAACCACCCATGATGAAAGAGCGAGTGAGTGAGTAAGTAAGTTGGAGGACGGAGAGAAAGAGGGAATGAGTGAGTATTTATCAATGTATCTCTCTCCTTTCGAACTTTTCAGTTTACTTTTCTTTTCTCCACTTTCAGTTTTCTCCCTTTCTCCCTTCTCCCCTTTTCTCTTCCAACGCGAAAAATGTACCCCGTTGGCTCATACAGAAGAAGTTTAAATGGTAGTGAGGTCATATTCACATCTTCGTTAGAATTTCAGTTCCTGCTTCGTATATCATGTGCTGTATTGAAATAAGCATTTAATTCATACCATAGAGTAGCTTATCACGTCTAACAAAGTAGAAAACACCCTAAAATTATTCACACCAAAGCATATCCCAAGGCATCGAACAAAATGAGAAAACGGTCTCACCTTTGAGTGCAGGTGTATTTTCCTGTGATGCCGTCATCACACACGCAGTTGTACTGACAGCCGTCCTGCCACTGTTGTCCTTGGGCGTACCTTGTGTTCTTGTACATGCAACCCTCTGGAACGCGTAGAGAAAAAAAGTCTTAACAAGACAGTTCCTCATATTATCTTACTACACACTATTCTCGGCTACTGATAAAACTATTCTTTTTAGTGGATGGTGGTTTTCGTTTTTGTACAAAACTGTTCCAATTGCATTGCATTAGGTTCGGTTCCCAAGCTACTCTTTACTCAGTTTTTGGATTATCTCTAAACATAGATAAGGAAAGAGAGAGAGAGAGAGAGAGAGAGAGAGAGAGAGAGAGAGAGAGAGAGAAAGAGAGAAAGAAAGGAGACATTACCAGTGACGTAGACAGACACACACATTGGAAGCCAACCCACATTGTGACAAAGAAAAATGGAGATGAAATCCTCAAGAGAGGAAGAAGACGGGAAGGCCGCGAGAGGTAGATCGCATACCCACGGGGCGCATCTGACTTAGAGGAGAAAGGAAAACCTAGGACAGAGGTGAGGAGCCTTTCTTCGGCGGAGAGAGAGAGAGAGAGAGAGAGAGAGAGAGAGAGAGAGAGAGAGAGAGAGATTGTTTTTCTCCTTTTTTTGTTTCAGTGCTACCATCATTTTACAACGTGTGTTCTTCAAAATACTGGAAACAACTGAAATACAGATATATGTAGATATTTCATGCTATCTTAGCCATGTAGATATGATTAATAAAGGATATTGCTGATACTCACATGAAAAAAAAATTCCTTTGTGTGAAATAATTATGTAAATGTTCAAAACGGAAACAAAAACTCACGGATTCTGTGAAGTAGCGGTTATAAGGCGTTCAGCTTTTACACACTGAAGACGTTAGTTCGATTCTCGAATGGGGAAGTTTCTTTTCATATCGAGCACCTCCATCTGTGTGCTTGGAAGTTGTGTCCACTATAAGGGGGGGTGGTTAGCCTAACAGGCAGGGCTGGAGAACACCGTCTCTTAAATGATCTAGTTTAATTTTGTCGACAGGGACATCATAAACACCTACAGTCACTCTCGATGATTTGTGACTGTCGTAGGCTTTGAGCGAGATCCATCATCATCATCATCATCATCATCATCATCATCATCATCATCATCATCATCATCATCATCATCATCATCATCATTCCTACACCCGAGCAATCATCAATGGGGGCGTAACACTTTTACAATTAAAAAACAAACGAGCAAGCAAATAAACAAACACAAACAAACAAACAAACACAAACAAACACAAACACACACACAAACAAACAAACAAACAAACAAACAAATAAACTCACGCGGTGGTTTCACCGTAGTCTGTCCTGGTTGCGATGTGGTGGGTGGGGGCACAGGGGCGTTACCGGTCACTGACCCAGTCGGGAGAGTCGGGAATGTCTGGGTGGGTCCAGGGGTCACCGGCTGATTGGGCCCTGGTGTGGGCAGGCACTGCGGGATCTCACAGCACGTGGGGTCGTTGGGGTCAGGTATCAGGGAGCAGCTTTTGGGTAGACCTGTATACTTGGGGCATCTGGGGACGTTCGGTTGAAGGGTCAAGAAAGGTAGATGGAAGGCGAGAGAGATAGAGAAAGAGAGAGAGAGAGAGAGGGAGAGAGAGAGAGAGAGAGAGAGAGAGAGAAAGAAAGAGAGAGAGAAAGAGAGAGAGGAAGAGAGAGAGAGACAGAGACAGAGAGAGACAGGGAGAGAGAGAAAGAGAGAGAGAGAGGGAAAGAGAGAGAGAGAAAGA